GGTGTGGTGAATTATTTCAACGGGTTTCGAAATAAATTTAGCCAAAAATAAGCAATCATTAAAAATATACGTATTATTTACTTCAAAGGGAAATACATGCAATGCCCTGATTGATAAATTTTATCGCATCATTCCCATCCCTAACACTGATCTCATCCTTTATGCCACTTTTTTCCTTGCCCCCTGAAAAGTGCTTACGAAAGATGTAAAGAAGTTGACTTTGGGTATTAGACTAAACATATAGACGACATGTGATATTCTTTAGAAGGCGTCAAGCAAAATGATAAAACCACTGCTCCGATGCTGATACAAATGTACAGTGGCACATGTATTGTACAGTGGTGGAGTACTATCTTGCACCGCCTGCAAGCACCAATTCATCATCGTCAATTAATTCATCCCCAATTCATCATCGTTAATTAATTCATGCCTAATTCATCATTCCACAGATGAGCTATATCGTTAAGTGTTAAACGTGATTAAATTTTACGCAATTTGATCCAATTGATGCCTAACTTTCGCGTTCGAAATTAATCGTGGGTAGCTTGGCCTGGTGACCGCGTTATGGCTATATTGGCAACTCCGTTACCCGACGATCGTGTCTTAGCCGTAAACATTTCGCTGGAGAAATTATATCACAACTGGATCGCGCAAATCACAAGTATTCTCATACCAACTGGAATTCTCTCGGGTACCGCTTTTACTCTGCGTACACCAGTTGATGAGGCACCGTCTCAAGAGAAAAATATAGACTTGGAAATCATCACTCCATGATCTTGGTTCCTTTCAGAATTTCTGATTGAATGCGCAACGACTATTCAAATATCATAGCTGGCACCGAGCAGAGAATCCCCTTGAAACTTATCGCAATCCATTACAACTTTAATTTGTTTGCCTCTATGTGGAATAAAACCGGCACACTTGGTGTCAAGTATGGTTAGCAGAATGAACGACGCTGATGCATATTGCTCTTAACAACTGAATAGCACTAATATTGTAATTGAATAATTGCGAAAGACTTGCAAGACAACGCTAGGCGAATGAGATGTCATCAATTAACAGTTACTAAGCAGGATCTAGAACACAGTTTATGATGGTGACAGTTATCGAGGCATGCATAGCACCAATGTGTGCACGACTTGTCAACATATACTTCTCAACTTGAGAACAACAGCAACACGGCTAATAACGTCCACTTTTGGACATTAATTCCCAAGTTCGTGAAGTTAGCTGACGATATGATGCAACTTTTTACCTAGTTATTGCAATACTTCGTTCCAGTACTGCCGCATGTTGTAAAATCGATCAGAATAAAATCCATGCAGCAACACCAAGAAAGACGATCCGAATTTCTTCTGCTAACAAAGGAACAACGGATCACGCATTCAGATTTTTGAAACGCTGAAGCCGAAACAAAACTTTCATCGCGGAAATCCGGGCGACTGCGGCTGCGATTGTAATCCAGCTTAGAGCGCTACAATTATCGGTACTTGATGACTAAACAAATTTCTTACCAACGACATCGAGCATAAATTTAACCACTAAAGAATGTGGCAACTAGAGACATTCAGGTGGCAATTACTTGATGGCATGAAATCTAGGAAATGAACTGATTAGGTGATGGTAAAAAATTCATGCTGAAATAGCGTACGTTTGGTGATGCAAGGAGTGATTCAACTCGCAGCTTCAAATCGCGCGTTCAACGATCAGAAAGATAAAGTACGCAGCTTGGATGATAACCTCGTAATAAATTATTGAAGATATTGAAATTGTTGAAGCGAAGTGCTTGAAAACTTCACCTACGTGCTTCTCCAAGTATAGCAGATAGCCAAACTCGTCTTGACATCATAGCATGTCACTTATGATGCATGACACGCAATTATTCAATATAAGAATGCAAAACATCGACAAAATGGCTTAAACCAAACCCTTCACACACTAACCTTGAACTGGCAGCTGCAAAAATTAGAGAAGTAGACTTCAACGAGCCCGATGGAGGATCTTTGACTTGGGTCAGCTTCAAATAAGCAGGCCAGATTACGGAGAAAATCCCAACCTATTTACAACTGAACCAAATCAGGTAATACTAGAGATAGAACAGACTTCCCGCAGATGTTGCTCAGGTGCAGTCTATTCCAGTTGCTTATCACTTCGTCGCGCGTGAACTCTAAGTGCCTGACAGCTGAGAGGAATCTTTGTCTTCGCCTGCGGTTTCGGTTAGAATTAGTGGTGAGTCTAATCTCAAATTGGCACTAAGCAGATTTATAATATCAGTGGTAGATATGTATAAGTAAAGAAATAATGATGATTTATTTCATCATGTATAGTTATAAAAAGATGGAATGCTGAATATGAAAATTTACGATTATGAACAAGGAATGAACTCGCTAATTTTAATGTATTGTCGCATTTAAATCTATTTGCTGCTTGAGCTTGCAAGTCATTAAAAATCAAAATTTTTCTGCATGCTTCGTTGTCATGCAAATTGGTAGTACTCAGCAAATAACCCATTATTACCAAAGAACAAACTCTGAGATGTCCTTGTTTCGCAACACTTCGAAATGCTGAAGGAAACTAAATGTGGTGGATGTGTCATTGAACGCGCGAATCTTATGTTCAAATTTGCTGGATTTTCGGTCGTCATGATTATTCTTCTGTAATGTATGATCGCCGCTTTCGAACGATTCAAAAATGATCTTCAAATGACGGATCATCGCAGACCGTGTGTGTTGAAACTTGTTACTTGGTTTTGCTCACGGATGCAGCACATAACTTGCATTTAATGTGCCGCTCCGCTACACGCTCAGTGCTTCCGCTACTTAGGTTGAGCTCCACAAAAAGTTCCAGAGTTTTGTCGAGAGATACGCACTCGAGTGAGCCTACAGGAAAAATTGAACCTGATGATCTTACAATACGACGGGAAAAAGGAAAACTTGAAACAACATAAAACTTCAAGTATAATTTCTTCTCAACGCCGTACAAATACACAGTGGCAACGCAACTAACGAAAAATCACAGGACTGGATAACGTGAACACGAGTTAGGTTAAACTGTCATGAGGTTCAATCACGAGCATATCAAAACCTGTTCAACTTAAGATAAAAAAAAATCTTTAGACAAATAGAAACAGAAATCATTTCGTGCTCATGTGAGTAGTGTCTATGGAAGCATCACTCACCGTAGGTAAGAAAATATTTTCACACACGCAGCGGAAGATCTCAAATTACCAGCGCAGGGAAGCTGGTAGAGTCAACCCAGAATTTCAACGCTGATGTTGTAACTGAGCTATTGTTAGCCAATAATGTTCTGCATACTTTATGAATCATGATATATCTATCAAGCATACTCATTAACATATTATTCATGCTGAGCCGCTGCTGTTTTAATAACTGTCAGTCTTTCCACAGCTATGTGGAAACAACCTGGCACCATCCATTCCTGAGGCCGCAAATCTTCAAAGCTCCCACAGACTGTCTACGGAAAAAAATTACCCTTAGGCAACTAAATCAATCACTCTTTCGTTAGGCCACATTGGACAAGTCTTCAGGGCTCCCGCAAATCGTCAAAAAAGAGGCTGGTGAAGAAGTATCAACGTTTCATGTCGGAGAAATGGAGGTGAGACCAGTGAACAGCAGCAGAACGAATAGACCGAAGAAGAAGCAGACCTCATATGAGTAGGGAAGGAAATATCTGAAATCCTGCTGAAAAAATCCACGGGCAGATGCTGTTAGCACTGGTGTACAGTGTAAATCGCTCAGGGACAACGTCACTGGGAAAGTGGAAGTCATAACACTTGTGACTATTCGTTCTGTCATTTAAATTTATGACAAAGCGTTTTGGAATTAAAACGATAGGTTAAACAAAATTAACCCCTGACAGCAATTTGAAGCTCAAAAAAGGGTAAATGAAAACATGAAAATTCTCCAAGAGCGTAAAAGTGGCCATTGAACAAGCTACCAAACAATATAAAAAAAATGTACCACATACATACTCCCCGCTCGTGTAAATAAGAACCAATGGACATCATGGACATCATTTCGAGCAGCGACGCATGTTCCCATTTTACAATCAGCTCCCCCAAACCATGTATCTTATGAAACACAATGCAGGAACAAAAAAAAAAAGCTAGCTTCATATGATGCTTTTCACTAATTATAGACTAAACCATGATAAGGCTAGCGATTCTACCCAGCATATGAAAGCCCCAAGTTGTGAAGTTTTGAAATTTTTGACAAATGTTAAATCAATAGAACACAATTTCTTTCCATTATTACTAGTTCAAAACTGTTTATTTGAAATGCATAAAAACGGTATCCAAACTTGCAGCAAAAAAACCTGGTTGGAGGACAAAGACCATAAATTTCTGCACCCTCAATAAATTTACAGAGCTAAGATAAGTCTAAGACGACGATTAAGAAAGAATACAACATCAATATTGAACAAGTTTAGCGTGAAATAACACAGAATCGCTGGGTGAAATCCTAGATCACATCAACAAAAATACTTTGTTATTCAATAGAAGAATTCAATTCAATAGAAGAAGAAATGAGAATATGAAGTACAGTTACAAGACTCTACAAGGTCAACGTTGAAAAACTAAACGAGTGAGTATAATGCGTTTCATAAATATTCTATTATAAAGATATTACATAAAAAATATTATATTCGAGTCAACGAATTCCATAAAAAATATTCACACTCAACAGCAGCTCGATCAATAATTTATGCAATAAACTACTGAACCCCAGCATTAAGCGAGATATCGCTTGCACTGAGCTTGAGATTCATGGGGTAACTAGATTAGGCCAAAATGACTGATAGAAATTACAAACAAATGGGAGAAATTAATGCCCCTAGCGAAACTCAATAGGTATTAGATGCGGGCATATATTCTAAATAATTTTACTAAAACCGAAAAAATTAGTGTTGCCGTATGGGTTCCGAGTGAAAAAAACTCGAATTTTCTGAAAATTAGCATTGACATTTGCTTTATAAAATTTTTATCCACATCGGGCCAAAAAATGTTCAATACTCAGCAAATGAAATAAATTCGCACGTTTGTTGTCACATGGTAATTGATAAGTGAGAGAGAGTGATTGACGCAGCAACTCATCTCGCAGAAGCAGAGAAAATCTGATAAAAATAAATGCAAACAAATGGCTACTAGTTCTAGCTCTGTGACTATGGCCCAACTAAATTTATTTCTCCTAGTGAATTAATCAAGCGCAACAAATAGCTAAGACGTAAGTACATACGTAGATGAACACTAGAATATCAGGTGTTAGGCAAAGCATAGCCGGCATTGGCCGAGGAGAAACTGGAAAAATGAAAGCAATGTTTGGCATGGCACAGAAGAAACAAAAGAGCCTTTTGATGAAGAATTTTTTATGAAGACAACTGACCTTAGAAGTAACTGATTTACCTTGAATTTATCCTCAGTAACTGACTTGACCAAGTCATTCTAAAGAGCGATTAAATTTGACAATTGTTTGGTGACTTGAGAACCCAATTTTGGCGACTAACTTGATAAAAAATCCGATTTTCCCGTATTGACGAATCTATTTCTGGCACAAGTGTTGCGGGTGGCCAATACAACCAAAGAAAATGAAACTACAGAAGAAGTACCGGTACTACTTAATAACGCAGGTACTGATAAATTTTGGGTACTAAGTTTAATAATAGCATTAAATAGATGGAGCTATTCTGTACTGGCGCAGCTGGTGTCTGTAGAGCTGTTCCTGGCGCACAAGCTCCTCTTGTGCGATGGCCCGCTGGTCAGGATGTGACAGTCGGTTCGACAGCCTCTCCATGCACAGCGAGTAGACTGTGTGGCACGGCAACAGACTGGGCCATCCCTGTACATCAATTTATGAGTAAACCAAGTATTCTATAAAAAAAGAGCGATGCTGACAGCAATTTCTAAGCACAAATATGCCAAGAGTGAACAAATGAAAAAATATATTTTGTATTATTGTTCATGTTACACACATAAAAAATTTAGGATGCTTAAACTACAACACAGTCGAGGTAATATAGTCGAGGTAACAAATGTATACTAATTAATGGACATGTGGTGTTGAAGTTTTTTTTACATCACAAAACAGTCTTCATCTCATGTTCACTTGCTTCAATCTGAGAGCTTTGGTGTAACAAATCCTTACATCCAAAACCGAAATAAAATAATCATAATGCAGAAATTATGTTAGTCTAATCAGGATTAACGCCACTTCTCTCGTAAATAAATCAATACTCAACAGCACAATGGGGCAAATGTGTACAAAACAACAAATACTATGACGAAACATCAGTTGATCATTTACACCTCCTACCTTGAGCGTGTGGTAGAGTTCAAAACAATTAATGGGGCCAAGAGGTGGGGGTTGAGCAGGTGCATAAGACATTAAGTGAGCCCCATTCTGCTGAGCAGCTTCAGCCGTTGGAATCAAGAGCGGTCGCTCCCCAATACTCTCCCCCACTCCTTTCAAAGGTATCCCCACGCTAAAAAGAAAAGCACTGTTAGTATGTTCCTTCACAAAATCATGTTGAGCATTTACTAGCAGAGAAAGAAGAGTGAGAAAATTGTTTTTTTTTTCATTGCCTGTTTCTTAGAATATTCTTTTTTACCATGATGATAATGGAAATTGTTACATAGATTGAATCTCACACATTTAATTAATATTGATTACTTCCCTTCCCTCAGTTGCATGGATACATACCACCTTCTGATCCTAAATACAAGCAGGGTTGAGCTATCTCAAAAACAAATAGGAAACCAGTAAGGGCCGCAATTTCTAAATTGATTCACATGAAATATGTACACCACAATTCCCAAACTTTTAGACATGATATATGTAAACCACAATTCCTAAACTTATAGACAAGAAATATGTACACCACAATTCCGAAATTTATAGACATGAAATATGTATGGTACACCAAATTCCTAATTTCATAGACATGAAATATGTACACCACAATTCCCTAATTGCTGTACATGAATTATGTAAACAATAAGAGGAACCTGTCTGCTGTCCAGTCTGATGCTGAAGCTGCTGATCGCAACCAGGGATTTGGAGGACTTGTACCCAGACTGTGGACGAATCGTCCTTCTCGTACCTTGTAGCCATGACGCTTCTTGAGGACAGCAGTCAGCACTGATTGAAGCACTTGCTGGAGAATACATGATACTGAATTGTAAAACATGATGGATTACTGTTACTGTTAAAAATATAACTCAGTACTCACTGCAGTGAGTGACAGAGAGAACATTTTCTCGTCAATGAAAACGTGAAATCAGGAGGGACAGACAGACAGATGGATGGACAGGGCAAGCACAATAGCGCCTTTTGTCATAAATGAGAAAATATATGCGAAAAAATATTTTACTAATAAATTAAGGACAATATTGCAGCCTGAGTGACATGTTGTTCGCTACTATAGGAAATAAACAATCTCAATTTTTTGTTAAAAAAATGTACCACTTCTTAAATGTTGCTCTAGTCAACTAAGAATGTATAAGGAGTATAAAAATTAGTTGCATGCTGAAAAAATAGATGGACAACACACTCATACCTTGGTTGCATGATGTAGGAGAAGCACAACTCCTTCAGTAGCAGCATGCAAGCCATGATCCCAAGCAGCTAACAGCAGCCTGCCTCTGAGTTCTGCCAAGCCTAGCAGGCAGTGTACTCTGGTGTGGTGACCAGCCTTGCTGTCACGAATGGCATGTGGTTCTCTCAATGCAGTGTTGAAGGCATGTTGGTAAATTGAGACTGGCTCAAACACAGGCTGCAACAATTGAAACACATTTGTTTAGATCAATCGGTGATGAGCGTTCCATAACAAAATATACTATTAGCTTCTCTCAAAAAATGATGTGATAACAAAATTTTCCATCACAATGAAGATTTTTTATATTAATATATTTAATAAACAGTTCATCAAGTTTATGGCAATAAAAATGTCAGATTAACAATTCAATTTGAAAATATACCTATACGCTGCAATAACTGAGCAAGTATAAAGCAGAGGTAAATTATTTAACTCTGAAACAAACCTAAAAAAGGTAAAATAAAAAAAAAAGTTGAATTCAATGACAAAGATTTATAATTCACCTCAGAAGCAAGTTTATTTGGCTTCAACTTCTTCTTAGAAGCTTTGCTGGACATTTTTCTCTTCTCTGATGAATTTGGTAAAGTAGTAGTCAGTCCACATCCAAGCATTGTATTACCATCCAAACTGTGCAGAGGCATTTCAACCTTGATGCTGATATTGCTGCTGCTATTATTGACAGTGAAAGCACCAGTGTTAGATCCCAGGGGCCTCAAGTTTGAACTACTAGAAAGTGAGTTGGAATTATTGAAAATGTCATTGCGCGAGTTCACATTTGAAGTGTTGTTGGTAACACTAGCATGATTATAATTGTTTATATTATTGAAATTACTTGCAGTATTGGAAATAACACTGCAAGATGACACTGGTTCTTCCTTGGGAACTAAATTGGGAGATGAATGTGAAGAAAAGCTGCTTGAATAGATGGGAACATCACTGGAATTATTTTGCTGACTTGAACTGCATTGCAAACCCTTAAATACACTCCCCACATTAGAGTTTTCTGTATTGAAAATATCCTCTGGCACAACAGCACTTGGAGTTAGTGAGTCTGGCATTAATGAATAAGAGGTAGTAACTTTACTAGAACCATGGGCTAAGGAAGCTGATGATGAGCTTCGGTCATGAACCAAAGTCCCTTTGCAGGTTTCAGGAGCAGCAGACGAGAGGGGACTTGTATAGCTCATAGACACGAGATTACTAGGAGGTGGTGTACTTGAAAATAGCTGACATTTTGTGAGGATTGCCAGTAAAAATTCATTGTGAAGATAAACATCCGAATCCTTCAATAAGTCCCGAGCATTACTGTCGAAATGCTCTTTTGTGACCTGAAACAAGAAAAAATAAATAAAAATATAATAATTAAGTCATTAAAAAATTTGAAAGCTCAAAAGTTATAAAATTATAGTAGCTTAAAAATGAAAGATCAAATTTATATTAGTTGCATGCTTGTATAAATCCTAGGAGTAACCTTTTGGTTACCAGTACTTCTAAATTTTGACCTTACACTCATAACTAGGATTAACAAGTCAAATTATTCCCAGAAAGAGAATTAATGATTTTGGTAATAAAGATTTCAATAATTTCCAACAATTGCATGGTGTTGAATAAGCTAAGACATAATTCAATAAGCAATTTTTTACTGAGCATCAAAAAATTAAATTGCAAGAATTTTCCTTCTCAATGCAGCAAATGAGAGCAGATCTACAAAAAAAAATATTTTGTAGAGCAAATTAGCAATTTTTTTATAAAACTTTCAGATTCTTCTTCCACAAAATTTAGCTGCTAAATAATCAAACTTATAATATAGGAGCTGCATTATTTGGAGCCCACATTTTTTCACTTCTACACCTACTTCAAAAATGACAAATTTTTCTAAGACAATTGAATGTTAGGAAGTGTTCTTCCAGAAAATCTTCAGCCAGCACCAAAGCAATGAAATTTTTTATTCATTATTTAAAGCTACCAAATATTTTTTCTTTATTGAAGTTTCAAGATTTTCTAATTCCTATTAACGATTTAAATTAGTTTAGAAAACCAATGGTTGACTTAAGGATTGCCTTCTCTCTTTACTCACAGCATTCCAAATTCCAGACGTTCAAGGTTAAATTCTATGAAAAACATACTGACTTTAGTTTCGAGAGATTGAGATAAGATAGCAGCAAAAGTGAGATGTGTGCTGCTAGTCACACATTTCCTGGCATTGTGAAAAAGATCCTCAATTTCCACCTTCCTACACCCATTTCAATTTTTGATAATGTTCAACAACTTAATGGTTGTAATTGTATTTGATTCATTAAAAAAATGCCCTTTTCATATATAATTTCCTTCTAAGCAAAACCAGCATTATTTTTAATGAAACATGCTTGAATGAAAGGCTCCTTCCTATATAAACTAATTGAATTTGTAGATACATTTCTCTGAAATGATTCAAATATTAACTTTTCTCTAACTGCCATTTATAATTGTTTACAGTATTTTGATTTGGGGTGCAAATGTCCCCATTACAAGCATACCATTTTATTAATTGTTTGATCCTAATTTGACAAGTTGCTGGTTACTTTAGAACTATTTTTTTTTCAAAAGAGAAACAAGATGGCAATGGGCTGTTTGAATGGCCAATTCTTGGTCTACTTAATTGACTACCATAAAATGGGGTAATAAGGGACAGTTTTGAGTGTTTTGTTAATAACTTCTTACCATGAAACATTTCGTAAACAAATTTGAGCTCATTTTAAAGCACTTTGCGAGGGCTATTGAATAACATCTCCAAAAAATGTTAATAACCTATTTGTAATGTGCCACATGCATAAAAGCGTCCCGAATTACCACTGAGAATGGGATAATCCGCGGAACTTTAAATAAAAGTCAATTTTAAAATGTTCGAAGCATGCTGAGTGTACTCGTCCATCACCAACAGTTCTCTGATGCCCTCCTCTTCCTTTGTAGATAATGTAGATGTAGAATAAATGACATTTTTGTGATTTTTATTTGTTTTTCATTTATTGATATGGTATTCCCATATCCATACTTTATCGTATTATTGATGTGATATTACCGTATCCATGGACATGCCATTGTGCATTTAGAACAACCATGTCCACTGCAAGCTTCATTTCAGCAGCCATGTAACATTTCTTCTGTATCTGTAATTTCAAACGATTGGCTTGTAATTTCAAACAATTTTAATTGGGTTACGGTAAGTGAATTCACTCTAACAAAAAAAGATCAGATAAACAGACCTGAAACAGAAAGGAATATTCTAGTGACAACCTTCATTCAGATTTTACAGTTTTTGGAAAAATAAATCATTGTTTAGGGTTAATTACTTTTCATTCTATGTTGCTGGTGCACAATTCTATCTATGACATTCTAATTCTATGCACAATTATGTACTGACTGATGATGCATTAATTTTTCATTAAGTGATTTTTTTTGCTGAGTGAGGTAAATGTAGTCAAAATTTTTTGTTGTTAATTGATTTTTTAGTTAACTGGAGCCTTTGCTAACTGAGGTTTTCCTGTAACTGCATTTTAGGGGTCTCCCTTATTACCCTGTTCTGCGGAAATGGCTGCCATTTTTTTGGAATGAGATAGGACAATTCTGTCAATTGCATTTCTAAGCCAACACCTGTGTGCAACTTTTATGCAAGTAAAATTTTTTTAAAGAGCATACTGATATTTAGAAAAAATTCCAGGACTTTTCCATGACCTGGATCTAGTAATCTTTGAACGTCAACTGAAAAGAGAGTAGTTGGCACAGCAGAACCAAACTTTGACAGGACATGTACAAGATGTGTATCAAACCTATGCATCCACTTGTATACCATCAAATGGGGTAATAAGGGATGGTTCTGAGCATTTTTTGTTAATAACTTCTTACCATAAAATATTTCATAAACAAGTTTAGGCTCATTTTATGGCTCTTTGCAAGGGCTATCGAATGGCATCTTCCAAAAAATTCCATAACCTAATTGTAAGGTGCCAGATGCAAAATAAAACCGTCCCAAATTACCATTGGGAATGGGGTAATCTGGGACACTTGAAATAAAACTCAATTTCAAGATGTTTGAAGCATGTGGTGGTACTCATCCAACATCCATTACTAACAGTACTCTGAAGTCCTTCTCTTTCATTGTAGATGTAGAATAAATGACATTTTCTGTGTTTTTACTTGTTTATCCTTTATTGATATGATATCACCATATCCATACATTACCGTATTAATTATGTGATATTCCCCTATCCATGAACAGCCAATTGAGCATTTACAATGACCTTGCCCACTGCAAGCTTCATATCAGCAGCTGTTTGGCATTTCTGCTGTATCTGTAAGCTTACAGTATGGCTTGTAATTTTGCACCATTTTAATTAGGTTAAGTGAATTCATTAAGAAAAAGATCATAAAAAACATACCAGAAACAGAAAGGAATATTTTAGTGACAACCATCATATGTTTGGAGAAATAAATCATAGTTGAGGTTAATTAATTTTCATTTAATGATGGCTAGTGCACAATTCTATACCTATATGACATTCTGTGTACAATTTTGTGATGACCAAAGATGCATTAATTTTTTGATAAGTGAAATTTTTTTTGCTGAGCGAGGTAAATATAATCAAAATTCTTTATTGTCAATCAATTTTTTTGTTAACTGGATCCTTTGCTAACCAAGGTTAAACTGTAAATGCATTTTTAGGGGTGTCCCTTATTACCCCAAGGGAGGGGGGGGGACAGAGGTGTCCCTTATAACCCCGTTGCGCGGAAATGGCTGCAATTTTTTTAATGAGATAGGAAAATTCTGTAAATTGTGTTTTCAAGCCTACACCTGTGTGCAACTTTTACGCAAGTAAAATTTTTTTATACGGCAAAAAAATTTTTTTGCTCCAAACCTTAGAAGCTTGCAAGAGGGGCCCAAGGGCAAGCGGTCTTGCCGCTCTTGCGAAGGGTTTAGACTGCCGCACAGCAGCAGACCACCATAAGGAGCTCTCTTCATAGAATTCCACTATTCATAGGACTCAAAATTAAATTAAGAGGGCAATAAAAAATGTATATACAATATGAATATACCTACTCCTTCCACAGCCCAGAGCCAGTTACTGCAAAAGGCTAGGTTATATTACAAAAACTACAAGCTCAACGGTAGCAAATGGCTGAGCTTAGGGCCAAATACCATAGGCCTGGTTGAGGATTTTACAGTAATGACAGGATGGATGCAAAATTGCAAATATCTTGCTTTCAGACTAGCCTACCAGGCTACCAGCCTCTTAGGTAGTCATTTATTACTATTAGCAGATTATTTAAATAAAACTTACTTTTCCACGAAACCAATCTTTCATGTAGAGGAAATATTTTACGTGATCATCGCCCAGAGCCTCCACTAACTTTTTCTTGCAATTATATAGAGCGTCTCCACTACAAGCTGTCATCGCGCTACGTTCACGAAACCACAACACAACACTGCTCTTGTCCTGTGCATCTGTTATATTCAGGGTAAAATGATATTCAGAAAACGTAGGCAAGAGTCTAAGGTAAAAATTTTGTAGTCAATTTTATTTCACAGGAAAATTATTGCCTAATTTGATATAAACCATGTTTTCTTATCTTATTGTCCCTAAATTTTCTATTGTTATAACTTACCATACCAAGAAAAACAAATTTAGTTTCTTTTTTCGTTACTACTGTTATTATTTTGAGGCAATTATAATTTACAAGGAAAAGCAACAGGGAAGTTCTCAATCGTAAACAATAATAAACTCGCATAAAAGCACACCAGTCTGTATCATGAGACATGAGACGATAACTGCTGAAAGTGTATTAAACCAATCGAAATTACACCGTTATGGATATTCCGGGCGTGGCTCAACTATTTGATGAAATCGACAGTAAGTTATTTTTACAGTAGACGCTTTAATTGAAGTAGAAAAGTAGGGTAAAGCTTGCAGTTTCAGTGAGAATTGCTTGGATAGTTGGATTTAATGGATTAAATTAATTTAATCTTTCATTATTTCCATATATGAATCTGGTTAAATTTGGGAGGAATGTATGAATGAAAAATCAGGCTGAGGCAATCTGTGAATGAATAAAGAACACCCATGCTCCAGGCTGTAGAGTAGGGCCTTTTAGCTCGAGATATCGGCGTCTTTTCAAGCTCTCCATCAGCCACATCGACCTTAAATTGGCGTCCATGGCCGATCATAAACTATGGCTCAGGCAGCCATGACCGACCATAAACTATAGATTGCATGATCAGCCCCGCTGTCACCGCGCCCATCTTCAGCTTGTTTGATTGCTTGTATCTGTCACCCGATCACAATGTGCATACGTCTGGCAAGCCCAATGCTACTGCTGAAAAAACTTGTCAATCTATTGTGTTCTAACGTGATCTATTGTGTTCTAACATGATCTATTGTGTTCTAACATGATCTATTGTGTTCTAACATGACTTATTGTGCTGTCTCTTATACACATCTAGATGTGTATAAGAGACAGCGCCGGAACTGCGCGCTACATCGCGTAGTTCAGGTGGCTATGAGCTCGTATGCTTGGGTGCAAAAATGTAGCTCTCACAGGCGCCGGAACTGCGCGCTACATCGCGTAGTTCAGGACTTCAGGTGGCTATGAGCTCGTATGCTTGGGTGCTCAAATGTAGCTCTCACCACCATCGGAACTACGCGCTTCAACACATAGTTACGATCGTAGCGTGGAGATCAATACGGCGCATCGGCCATATCGATCGTAAATCGTGATTTATGGAGAAGCATAATTGGCGACCGGCGTCCAGTGGTGTTAAGTGGCATCCTGCTCGGCGTCTTTGGTGCATGAAATCGGCGTCCTCGACCTATGTTGTGCCATGCTCTACAGTCTGGCCCATGCTTGCTGTCAATTTCACACATTTCTATTGCTCCTGCTTGATTTCTTTCATAAAAAGTTAGAAAAAAGGCAGATTTTTGCCTGCATTTTTTTGTAGAAAATAGATAGTAGGTAGACAATTAATCTAAAAAAAATCTTGCAGCTCCAAAAATGAAAGAAAACTCTAGTTCATAGCTACTTCTTAGCCAGGCTGTAGAGTAGGGCCTTTCAGCTCGAGATATCGGCGTCTTTTCAAGCTCTCCATCAGCCACATCGACCTTAAATCGGCGTCCATGGCCAGTCCAGTGGCATCCACCTTGGCGTCTTTGGTGCATGAAATCGGCGTCCTCGACCTATGTTGTGCCATGCTCTACAGTCTGGCTTCTTAGCAGCAAACAAAAGATTTTTTAGGATAGGGTAAACGCGGTATTATGGTATACTCCGACATCGTGGGTAATTCCGACACCTCTGACCATAGTGGCAAACCAGAGCTTTTTTAGAATCAGTTCATTTTTAATTTCTTCATTTACTCAAGATTTAAACCAATTTCTCAAGTATGATACTGCTGGTATCCAGGATACTTTACTGGTCTACTTATAGGACTCAAAAATGAACTTGAGGGAGAGTCTAAAAAACTCTCTGCTTTGCCACTATGCTTTACTTGTCTACTTATAGGACTCAAAAATGAACTTGAGGGAGAGTCTAAAAAACTCTCTGCTTCGCCACTATGCCTCTGACCTCTCTAGTTTTTCCTTTATATTAGGCTTTGATGCTTTGTCTTAGTTCCATGCATTTGTTGATGGTAAAATAGTGACGTCATACCTTTCTGTGCCAAACTATTGCCAAAACACTAGGTTTGGGCCGTCTGGCAGGAATTAGGAAAATGTTATGATCCAAAGAGAGACAGTGCATGCCACCCAGTGAGGTCATCGAAAAATGCATCAAAGTTGATAGTTGACCTTGCTCTACCAAATAGTAATAAACTGTTTGTGTAGAAAGAATATTATGGCTTGAGACTTTTAAATACATCTGTGAATATATTAGGAATACTTTAAGTATAGGTACTTGTATTAGCTGATTCCAAGTGGTTAAATAAATTAATAGATGATTAAGTTAAGAAATGGAATTAGACACATAAAAACTAATTCCAACACAACTTGAATTGGACACACACAGCTCATTCCAAGCTGTGTGCAAAAATTAAAATTTTCCTAATTAAAAGCTTAATAGCTGTTAATTAAAAGCCTAATTAAGTAGTGTTCAATATTGAATAATGTTCTAATTCAAAGCCCTGTCTTATTCCAATACAGCTCGCACAGCAATCAGAATTCGAACACAAGGATTTCGGAATTACGTATTAGTAGATTTTGAAGCGCGGCCGTAATTCATCTCACAATGTGCCAAATTTAGTCACACACAGCGTTGGAATATAGGGATTTGGTACTTGGTAGGTTTGCATTCTAAAGGCTTTTAAATAAATACGGCAACACTTTGTGACATTTCATCATTGCTGGCGCGTAGTGCAGTGTTTTGAGAGTCGCGTAAAGCAAACAGAACTTGAGTAACGCATATGGTTTTTTTATAGTTTTTCATTTCTCGATGCATCCTTAATGCATCGGAATATACCGCGTTTACCCTAATTTTTTTTTAAATTTCATCATAACAAAATTTAGGATAGGGCAAAAGTAGTGGCAAAGCAGAGAGTTTTTTAGACTCTCCCTCAAGTTCATTTTTGAGTCCCATAAGTAGACCAGTAAAGTATCCTGGATACAATCCTTATCATACATAAGAAATTAGTTTAAATCTTAGGTAAATGAGGAAGTTAAAAATGAACTGATTCTAAAAAATCTCTGGTTTGTCACTATGGCTGATAGGGTAAACGTGGTATATTCCGACACATTAAGGACATAGCAAAATATGAATGGCTATAGAAAAAATCACCACATGCGCAACTCAAGTTCTGTTTGCTTTATGTCACTCTCAAAACACTGCACTACGCGCCAGCAACAATGAAACGTTACAAAATGTTGCCATATATATTAAAAAGCCTTTAGAATGCAAACCTACCAAATCCATATACCTATTCTGATGCTGTGTGACTAAATTTGGCATTTTGTGAGACCAATTTTGTCCACGCTTCAAACTCTACTAATTCATAATTCCGACACTCTTGTGTTTGAATTCCGATCGCTGTGTGAGCTGTACTGGAATACGACATAGCTCAAAATTAGAACACTATTGAATATTGAACACTACTTAATTAGGGTTTCAATTAAGAGCTAATAATCTTTTAATTGAGAAAATTTTAATTTTTGCACACAGCTTGGAACGAGCTGTGTGTGTCTAATTCCAAGCTGTGTCGGAATTAGTTTTTGTGTCTAAAACCGTCTCTTAACTTAATCATCTATGAATTTATTTACCACTTGAAATCAGCAAATACAAGTATACTTGAAGGATTCCTAATATATTCACAGACTTATTTAAAAGTCTCAAACCGTAATATTCTTTCTATACAATGCAAACAGTTTATCACTATTTGGTAGAGCAAGGTCAACTATCAACTTAGACACATTTTTCAATGTTTTCACTGGGTGAAGTGCACTGTCTCTCTTTGGATCTCAACATTTTCCCGCTAGACAGCCCAGACCTAGTGTTTTGGCAATAGTATGATGTCACTATTTCAACCATCAACAAATGCGTGGAACTAAGACAAAGCTTAATATAAAGGAAAAAAGTTGAGAAGTGTCAGAATTACCTACAATGTCAGAATATACCGCGTTTACCCTAGTGCTGGTATTTACAAAACTTTACTGGTCTACTCATCAGACTTGGAAACAATCTTGAGGATGAGTCAAAATAAAGTCTCTTCTTTTTAGACTATATATTCTCTAGTTTCAGCTTGGTAGATAAATATATTCTACACATGGTACCAGGGTGCAGAGTTTGTCTTGCCTTGCCAAGATTTATTTTTTTAGCCCAAAATATTGCAAGCAGTATTCAAGATGCATTATATAGAGCGTCTCCACTACAAGCACAAAAATCCTGTATTGCCAGCAGCTTTCAGCTGTCACTGCATATATCTCTTGTTTATTTTAATTTCTTATATCCCTATGCCTGGAATGTGTTGTGTTACTTGTGTACATGCTGGAGTTTTTGGGGGGGATGTACACCAGGGCATGCTATATATCAATTTTTATATGCTATATGTATTCAAGTGATATATATGTGATAGCCTGATACTGCATAATGGCTAACCAGAGATATTTTAGATTCAGTTAATTTTTATTTTCCTCATTTGCTCAAGATTTAAATCAACATACTATGTATGATAATGCTAGTAATCTTGGTACTTGTTTGGGTATCCATGTTACTTTGCTGGTTTACTTACAGGACTCAAAAGTGAACTTGAGGAAAAGTTTAAAATATATATAACTCAGTACTCATTGCAGTGAGTGACAGAGAGCGCATTTTCTCATCGACAAAAACTTGAGGTCACGGACGGACAGAGGGATGGACAGACAGACAGAAGGACATGGCGAGCACAATAGTGCATTTTTTCCATAAATGAGAAAATGCGCTAAAAACTCTCTGCTTTGCCACTAGGCACCAGGAATGAATGCCAATATACCAAGGCTTTGATTTTTTATGCCTCACTGAGAACCCTAAAAAACATATTCACTGCAGTTAAAGTATGACACTGTCTCTTAGGTGTAGTGGACAATTTGCACTTTGATACTGTATTAGAGTCCAAGTAATTCAGTACATAGAATTGTGCACTGACATTTTTTCTCTGTTTAAGTCTTTTTCTAACCATCTCTAATTATTACTTATACAATGTTTTGGAAAATAGGAATGTTTATTAATTGTACATTTTAGGTTGCTTGTAGATATTGAAGTAATTATGTATATACCAGTATTTATCTCCTAATGATTCTTCAATTAGATCGCTTGACTTCAGTATCGTGCCTTTAGATATTTAAAATCCATTGTTCAATCTGAACTTCTACTGAAAAGTTTGTGGTAAAAAATGGAAAATTAGCAAAAAATAGCCAAATTGTTTTGGCTGGTTTTGTGATTCTTATTTTACAATCTTTTCATAATTACCTATTGAGTTAGAATTTTGATATAATATGATTGTTAAACTGTACATCCAAGTGATTCTTGCGCATACTTCTTGAGCAGAGAAGTTGGTTGTCTACTTGCGTGATGGTCGCACACTCATTGGCATCCTGCGCACCATTGACCAGTTTGCAAATCTCGTTCTTCACCGCACCATAGAGCGGATACATGTGGGAAACAAGTACGGCGATATCGAAAGAGGAGTCATCATCATTAGAGGAGAAAATGTTGTCTTATTGGGAGAATGGGTGAGTTTTGACTTTTGAACGACTGCCCAATTCTGCTTCATTCTGAACAACTTACTCCATGTTGGCGTTTGAGAGCACAGCGTGTGTTATATGGCATTCAATTTTATGAACACAGTTATTGGATGCTTTGAAGAGCATTAGTATCAACCCTCTCACGAATAATCCCGTTTGCTCATCATAACACGGCCAAGCATGATGACAAATAGTTGCTGAATAGAAATCCTGTACACAACAAATTTGAACAATATCAAATTAATGCTAGTAAATTGTTATATTGGATAGGAGCTGATCAATAATTCAATGCACATTCCAATTGTCTAAAAATGAGGTATTTTAAGTGCGAGAACTAAATATTGATTTTGACAGGATGAGGAACGCGCTCGTGTATCAGGGCTACACCAGATATCAGTTGAGGACATATTGGATGCCCAGCGAGAAGAGCAGCAGCAACAACAGCATCAGCAGCTTCTTCGTGCCAAGTTTATGAAGGAGCGAGGCCTAACTTTAACGCCTGAAATTGGTCCTGATGATATGTATTAGCTTTTTCTTGTTGATATAACAAGTCGTGAATGTGTTAACGTTATTATTACTTGATGAGCAGCACCGCGCCTCGAGTACGAGCTTTGTACTAGTGCCAGCAACATTAGGATGAAATAAGGTGATTACCAATGTGATGCAGATTGGGTAGATTCAAACCTCTCTACTTCAGTAACAAAAGTAAGGAAATTACTTATATGCGAATAAAGTAATGAAGATAACTGAACAACACGTGTGACGGCGTGGGTTGACGTTTAATGTTGCTACTCATTTTTTACGATGCAAGTATTGCATCCATTTATTCATCTACGTTTTCTATAAGTTTCAAATTAAATTTGGCCATCAGATACTTTCATTCTCTCTTGATACTCCAGTCTAGTTCTACACAAGACATTGTGGTTAGTAAAAGTATGTAAACTTGGGCCTTACGCTGCTTAGGCTTACTCCTCAACAGTGATCACATTATGTATTCCCTTGTCGAACTTATTTATCAGGTTGATCCCCTTAGTTACGTTCATAGGTTTAAATAAGTTTTACAATTCATAAACCATGTATTTCCGTTGATGGCATCGCACTTTTGAAAGAAGATTACATTGTAAATGTAGCTACCGGGACATGACGGCTGTGAATTGTTTGTGTTGCAAGTATAAGTAAGAATTAATTTGGCTCAATTTCTTCCTCGAATCGATTTTTTTTTACACATCAACAAATATCGCCAAAAATTCTCACTGATGCTTTGCATAGGTAATGAGATGCTAATGTCTCACATGCGATCACTGCAGGGGATTAGTCACCGATTAACTTGTAGGTCTCCCTCGTCATTTTTCCTATCCCTAAAACGCTGTCAAATGCCTCCTGGAACAAAGAACCTGAATAATGCAACTCCTCGTGGACTAAAGAACTTAAATATAACACGTAACTCCGGGATAGATTTCGTTATGTATCAATCTACAAGAACAAGAGATATGTTTGTCATTAGCTGACGATAACTTGCAACATTCAGTACCAAAAAAACTAATAGGCTCATATAGCGCATTCATTTCAATGGATATGCCCTTTTTATGGTGGAAAATAGGTTGTCCGCTGAGCAAAATCTCATGCAAATACTATCATTCCACTTGCATCCGCTAGTATTGATTATTAACACCGAAAATAACCAAACTTGTATAACAAATCCTACAAATAAGTAACAAATCCTTTCTTCAACTTAACGAATTAATTGAATATAGTGAAATCGAATGTATAAATCTTATTGATTCGTATAATCATGAACGAAAACGGTTGCGAATTTTAGGGTTTTCAAAGTGACAAGAGTCTAATGTAGATACTAATAATGAAAATCATGTATATACACAATAGCCTCCCGATATTTATTATTAAAGAAGAAAATAACTCAGTACTTACTGCAGTGAATCTTTTACTCAATGTTTTGAAACAAGAAGATTACATTGTAAATGTAGCTACCGGGACATGACGGCTGTGAATTGTTTGCGTTGCAAGTAAATGTAAGAATTATTTTTGCTCAATTTCTTCCTCAAATCGATTCTTTTGCACATCAACAAATAACGCCAAAAATTCTCACTGAGATGCTAATGTCTCACATGTGATCATTGCAGGGGATTAGTCAACGATTAACTCGTAGGTCTCCCTAGTCATTTTTCCTATCCCTGTAACGCTGTCAAATGCCTCCTGAAACAAAGAATCTAAATAATACAACTCCTCGTGGACTAGAGAACTTAAATATACGTAACTCCGGGATAGATTTCGTTATGCATCAATCTACAAGAACAAGAGATCTATTTGTCACTGGCTGACGATAACTCACAACATTTCGTACAAAAAAAAAACTAATAGGCTCGTATAGCGCATTCATTTCAATGGATATGCCCTATTTATGGTAGAAAATAGATAGTCCGCTGAGTTAAATCTCATGCAAATACTACCATTCCACTTGCATCCTCTAGTATTGATTATTAAAATCAAAAATAAACAAACTTGGATAACAAATCCTACAAATAAGTAATAAATCCTTTCTTCAACTTAGCGAATTAATTAATTTCCGTTCTGAAGTCAGTAGAAGAAGCATGCCACAAAAGCTCGTTTTCTCTCGTGGTCCGACCACGCTTCGGCGTTTGTGAAGTTCGAGGCTCACACATTGGTACTGAAAGTTGAAGAAAACTTAACACACTGGTTTAAGGCTTCAGAATTTAAGAATCACAAAAAAATAAGTTCCCGAGCTCACACTACGAAAGCGGTTGCGAATTTCAGGGTTTCCAAAGTGACACGAATGTAATGTAGACAATAATGAATGTCATGTATATACACACTAGCCTTCCGATATTTTTTATCATAAAAAAACATTCAGAAGGTTTTATGTGAGACACGAGACTATATAAAACGCGCTCTGCGAAAAAAAAGGCGAGAATGAATAGCCGAAAATCCAAATATGGCGCGCTAGGAGACAGCTCACCGCTTGAGCGCTTGCAGCCGCCAGATATTGGCAGTGATGTCCTCCAAGGCCTTCATGAGGCCCTGGTCGCATGGGCGCATCATAATTTGCTGCAGGAGGACGCTTCTGAAACACCAATGACGGAGACTTCATGACATGACCATCTCAGGTGAGAATAAAAACATTGGCAGTAAAAGTCGTATCGGCAAGTTTAACGATATGATTATATGGGGAAGAGACAGAACCTACCACTATATCAGCTTCATCAATTGTAGTGCGCAATTTTATTCAATGAGAGCATGAAAGGAGCGTTCTAAATCGCAGAGGATTGACACTAGTTCATAAAATGTTTTATTGAGTATAGCGATTTAGCTACATAAAAACGCCAAAAATTTTGAAAATAAATTTGTTGTGTGGTGAGCTGGAAAAAATACATGACCAGAATACGCCTGAAATTAAAAAACTATGGTTTAAATAAAGTTACCTGTGGTGCTCCAAAGAAGCCAATGTAGTTTCCATCTTGTCAGGGCCTCGACCAGACGCCAACGAAGTGACAGTTTTTGGCAGAGGGGGTACAGGACACGCTTGGTACAAGGCAGTTTGCCCAGTTGGCATCAATGACGGTCTAGTAGCAATCATCATTGCTGCTTGAGGTTGAGGTAACGCTTGGGGATGTGGAAAATGGAGAGGTATCGCTGGGGGTTGTGAAAAATGGAGAGGCATCACCGAGGATTGAGGACGAACAACGGGAGCAAAGTGATAGTAGTGCTGAGGCAGAGGATGATTTGGCACAGTTCCACTCGGTTGCATCAATGGCGCACTACGGATAGGACTGACTTTTGGCTGCTGCAGCCCGGAAGTTCTTCCATTATAAATACTACGAGCAACAGGAGAATAATTGCTGATGTATTGCTGAGGCACGAGTCTCGTAGGCTGCTTAGGCATTGAAATCAGGGTAGGATTAGGGTCGACTTGATCTTGAGCCTGAAAAGTTGTTACTTTTTTTACTACTGGAGAAGTTGAGTCACGTAGTTGGATGAGCTGATCTAAAGTGAAAACACCAGGGTTTGTATCGACAATCGCATCGCATTGCGTAGAGGCGCTACTTCCAAGGTTTTTGGAATTTTGGTCAAGCGAGTCACCTTGGGTGCGTTGAATCTTATCTTCGACTCCAACGTCATCTGAACTGGATAGACGAACATCCACTGTACACGACGAAGAATGCATTGGAGCGGTTGAACCACTGCAAGTTGGAGCAGAGCTACTAGTTGGAGTGCTTTGAGCCGGAATATCATGAGATGAAGACTCAGCTTTCAATAAGTCACAGGCGTTTGTTGATGCTAGAGTGTTCGCACTGTTCCCTTGCGATGTGACTAATAGTTTGGACGATTCGCTTGCATCTGAACTTGCGGCTTCAGCCTTTACAGAGTTTTCGAAAGTCGCTTTCTTATCTTGTTCAGTCACAGATGCATCAGTGAAGACCTGAAATTCATAACGAACCATTTGAGCTTCGTTAGGATCTAATTATATCATTGCTGAGAGGCAAATTACAATTCTGGTTCGATTGTATAAATTCTGGTTCGATGTTAAGGGAATTTGACAAGTTATCTTTGATGCTAGAACTTAACTTCTATCCAGAATGGTTGATTTTGAAAACACTAAAAAACAAATACAAAGGTAATAATAGAAAAAACATATAAACATTATTTACTAACCAATATTTAGAACAGCACACAATAAACGTACTTAAGATTAATGCAAAAGCGCACAATATGATAAAACAATATCTACACTGTTCGTTAATCATGGGAAATTTCGAACTTGATCATTCAATCCAACTTAGTAGCGTCTAGCATCCGAATCAAAATGTTGGTTTGGTCGACCAAACTTTCCGTCGTAAATATCGGGCATTCTGCGTATATTTTTCTCGGCGTTACCATAGTGGCTTTTATGATAAGTGTCCAAGATCCTGTTTGCGGGTCTCCACTCTGTTGGCCTGTAATTATCCATATGTAGTCTATTACTTGTGGGAAGCATTCCATTCGATTCTGTTCCCTGGCCTCGGTAATCAGATTCTAATGAGCACATGATCGGACGTCTCATGGAGGGATAATTCCTAGGTGGTTCATTCATTTGTGTCGCATCGATGAAACTTGTGCCCCAAATCATTTCATGTTGAGGATATTTGAACGGGTTTCTCACATCAAACGCGTTGTCACGACTCACAACTCCGTATCTATCAGTATTTTCAAGGGCTCTACGAGGGTCACGCATCTCATTGTGACGTATACGAGGCTCCGTTACACGATCGTGCATAAAAAATCCCTGGGAGTTATTATAAGGAGGATTTTTAGACGGAAACTGACTCCCAAATTTCTCATTTTTAGTTAAATAACCACGAGTATCAGTCGAATTTTGGCCATACATAACATGGGAAGTTGGGCTAATTTCAGGAGGCATTCGTCGCGTAGGGGATTCGCAGGGGCGATATCGAAATGCGCCTTCATATTGACCACGGGGAAGCAGAGGCCCAGCTCCTCTATGGTAATCTCGCACCGGCATGGCTATGCGACCCTGCATGGTTTCTTCTTGATACCGAGGCTGATGAAAATTCGAAATGCCAGGATGGTGATAACCAGAATTTGGCCTCATCATTCCATCCTTTCTAGGGTAGTTATCATTATGCACCGCAAAATTATCGAAAGGTTTGTATCCGCTGTGAAATTTAGGGCGGCGAGTCCAAGCATCGCCCACGTTTTCATAAGGATTTATCGTCATTCCAGGAGGTGCTATTGGACCATTGTATCCGTACGACTCTATTCCATATATCCTCTGCATGTCGATAAGTTTCTTATTGCGTTATGTTAACTCAAAATATTACAATAGAAGCCTTCATATTTGCTACGAATGACAGATAGCAAACAAGTTACTTTTCCCGATATTGAGAATTATTTCGATAAATATTCACGATCCACTTTGGTTTGGTAGGGTGTCAATCGAACAAAATGTTCAACAGCAGACAGCAATTTTTTGGTACTATCACAGAATACTAGGCAATTGCAAGGTGAACCGGCTGAAATTGCAACTATAGTTTTCGAAATCACTTTTAATAAGTCCAACGATAATCTGGGGTCCCACCATTGAATTTTTTGAAGTCAATTCCGTAGTTTGCAAAGCTTTGGCCTTCTTGTCGATGTTACTGGCGTCGTCGCTATCACAGGCGTTTTTTACTGTGAGCTCTGGCATCGTAAGCTGCAAGTCGAGAGAAGCATAAATTCGAGCTCATTGTGGACAGTAAGATTGCCCACCTAAGAAAACAGCGTATCTCGTATACCGAGTGAGAAAAATATCCCCGAGCTATTACATCAAAGGACACCGTCGTATTCTTTTGTTGGACATGTGCGAAAGAATTGAAATTTGACTACGTGCGCACACCAAATATTCCAATTGCCAATGGTATTTTACTTCATCCACAATTTAGAATCCTGATTTTAGAAGGTAAACAGAACTTTTATCATCTGAAGGAGCCCGTTAAAAGAATTCATAAGTAAACGTCGGTTTTTGCAAGAAGTCACATTTAGATAACGAGTTAGTATCTGGGATACGCAGTCAATGACGGACGCGAATTGTTTTCCTCTCAGACCCTAACCATAGTTATTCATTCAGAAATAAGGTAGTTTATTAATTCAGAATTTATTTATTGGGAAATGGGACAGTGTATGATATGACGCAAAGCTTGTCCTTTTCTGAGCTGTACACGAAGAAATCACTGTTGAAAAATTAATGCTATCCATACAAATCAAATTACACATTAATTTTTCACTGTAGAAACATATTAAGTTTATTTGTGAACAAGATTTAACGAAATTAATACCGTAAACGGTGTGACTTGGACCGTTTTGACATTTAAGAATATAAATCCTCTACTCAAAAAATTCCTTGCCGTAGAAAAATTGTGTTGATGGCTCTTGAAGTACCTAATAGATAACGTACAAATGCAAGAAAGAGATATATTTTATATATTTAATATATGACGATTTGTATCACAAGAAGGTAAGCGCTTAAAAGGATCCTAGTCACCCCGTCATCAGTTCTACAGCACCCTTACCTCTGTGATGTGCATGGCGAAGCCTTCGCACACGAGTCTCTTAGCGATGTCTTTGATGCCATCCGAGGACGGGTCTACGAGTTTTAGGAGAACAGTGGAACCCTGAAAATAAACAGCCAGGTTACAATTATTAAAGTTTATACTCTCCTCTTCCTTCCTATTATTATGGAAGAAACACGCAAAAAAATTAAAACACTGTAAATTGTGTTAAATTGAAAGTCTATCGAATGATAAATTAAGTGTTAAGTACTTTGCATACTCGGTCAATAGTTATGATGAAATTATAACTTTTGTGTTATTATTTAGAAAACTGTTGAGATCTCTTATGAAAACGAAGACTGTATTAGTGATCAGAAAACTCATACAAAATTCAAAAGATTATATTTTGTTAGTGGTTACAGTTCAGAGTACAGAGATTGGAGCAGAGAGTCGCGGGTTCGATCCCAGCTCTGTGCGCCAGTTTCTGGTCAGAATCGGCGGGGAGGCCGGGCGGTTAAGCACAGCAGAATTGTAGCAGTGAGTTGCGAGTTCGAGACCGCAAAATACCGTGAATGTTCTGCGATGTTAAGAATCGGCGACAGGCCTACAGCCTAATAAACGCTGAAAACGCTATTATTATTATTATTACTAATGATGATACCTGAATGGCGATTGTGGTGGCGCGAAGTTTCCGGTCCAACACGAAGCTCACGAAGCGTGTAAGGGTCCCCGACTTCCAGCGTGTCGAACTGTTCTCCGTTGTCCACACGCCGTACAAACAAGCCTATGCAAACATCATCAGTTTTTTTATAATATCAGTTTAAACAAACGACAAACTTTTTACCACCAATTTCCATAACGTTTTACCGTAAGTTATGGAAAGATCGGGTTCCAAAAACCAGATCCCTAGTGAATCAAGTCACGGGCCTATTTCTTCAGTGCCGATACTTCTATTCTAAAGTAGAGTCCACTATGCAAATAGCTCAATCCAAGCAAGTTGAGCTTGGTCAAGTCAGTGATTAGAACGAAATGGTCAAAGCTAACAGGACATATGGCAATAAATTCAGAAAACTTGCAAAAAAAAAACAACAAAAAACATGGAAACTTGCGCGTAAAGCAAAAGGAGGCTGCTTGGTGAACTGCAGGGGTAGGTGCAGCAGCATGTAGCGCTCAGCTAGAAAAGTTTTTCCGAAATCCACCAACAGGACCTGCAAGGTCACAAGAGATTTTAACACGAGTTTCTCATAAATATTTGCGGCAATTTCAATTAAAGCTCTTTTTTTGAGAGAGATTCTATTTCCGTTTCTAACTTCAACTTTAAAACTTCAACAGGCCATGAGCCTATTTCTTCAATGCCGACACTACTATTCTATTCTAACTGTTCCAAAAACGGAACTATGTATACTTTATCGAACCTAAAACTGAGTATTAGGGCGTATCTCTTATTTTACAGTGGGGGACTCGAATTGCAAATGTCAGTTACGCATTCTTATAGCAAGAAATTGTAGGGACAGTATTTATCTTTGTTATCATGTTTTATTAATTTTCTAGAATATCTATCCGATCTGCAAATCATTCAAGCTACTTATAGACATTTTTTATCTTATTTGATTCAGTTATCCGTAGTATCACAACAGCCTGGTTCGCCAATGTTTGGAGTGCAACCGTCTTACCTAACAAAATACACTGTGAACATTATCCTCGGCAAATTCTTGTTATAATCCCCGTTCTAAGTTCTTAAATTTTACCAGTACCAAACCACCCGTTCCGCTATAAATTCACTGAGCCAAATTATTGAGAATACATGTCTATCTATTCGATCAATTAATTTATTAATAGAAGAGAATCAGTGTGGCGTTATACTTGGGCTTTGCCGTTAGGTTTTATGGCTCGGATGACAGCTCTGTAGAAGACTTCGTCCTTAGGGTCGTTGGCTGCCACAAGTTGCCCAGGCTTGTAATATTCGTCAAGTAGGGCCAGGCTTTGCCACTGGTCCTGAGTGTACTGGTAGTTGTAGTATTTCCTGTAATAGCCAATCTTTTAGCTTCAGATTGATACATAAAATCTGTAATTACATGTATTTATAAATGAATATTTTTCTAAATTCTACGAATTCTCTGGCCGTTAACTACCCGTGGTTAAAAAATCTTATTCTTAATATAATATATATAATATAATATAGCGGTTTCAGCGTTTATTAGGCCGTAGGCCTGTCGCCGATTCTTAACATCGATTCTTAACATTCTTCCATCTATTCCAAATTTTGAAAATATTTTTGGCCCTAATAACGCATATTCTTAAGGGGTATCAATAGCTTTTTCAATAAAAGGAGAAAACAGAATTAATATCAATGTTATAAAAGAAATTTCTTACTCGAGATCATCCATGAGCTCGTCCAAGCCAGCCATGTTGCAGATGACGCCGAAGTTGCGCGGAGAATACATCTCTCCCAACATGACACCCTCTACGCTTCCTCCAACCTGTGAGCAACCCTTCAACTTCATTACTAATACTTTGCGTCTATTGCTAATGACATAAAAAATTAGCCGCAAAAATCGCGACAATAATTAGAGAGAAAAGGTTGGTATACAACGTGTCACCCCTGAACAAATATTATTATTCTACCTAGCATTTATCGTCTAATTATAAACATTAAACACAAAGTAACTTTTCAAAAAATAGAATTAGAGTCGCTCGAGAATTCATACTGAGAACGTAGTGGGCTTTCTAAAAAATTCACATAATTGGTATGGTAGAGAGCATCATCGAACTCAGAACTGTCAAATCACGACAAATTTCGGCAATCAAACAGGAATGATTGCCAGGTAGAGAGCACCATAGATCTCAGACTGTCAAATCACGACAAATTTCGGTAATCAAACAAGAATGATTGGATGGTCAAGAGCACCATAGATCTCATAACTGTCAAATCGCGATAAACTTCGGCAATCAAACAGAAATGATTGCCTCTGTAAAATGAATTTTTAAAAGATTTCTCACCTGCAGTAGCGGGTTCTCTGTGTCAGCAGGAAGCTCACAGTCAGGCCCAGCTAAATGCTCAAGAAGAGCGCCGCACTCTCCAGAGTCCGTGGCATCATCGGGTTTCTGTGAACGATTCAATTATTAGCGGGCATAGCATGTTACTAGACTTGGATTGTACTTGACATAACATAAAATCAAAATCCGGCACTGCGTTGATTCATGCTTCGTTGCCAAATAAACTACGAATCAACGACAATGGATTCCAAACCTAAATAGCGTGATACGATGTTCCCGCGTGTGTTGAAAGGAGAACTCGAGAATCATCCCCTACATCCACCTTAATGTCAATGGTATTATAAGTGATCCTTTATCGTTGGCAACAAAATTACTTCAGTATCAATGATATTATAAGTGATTATATTGGTAGTAGATAATTTTCATTGGTAGAAATTACGTGGCATTAGACAAATGTGGAAAAAAATAATCAAGAGAATAAGGACATTAAAAATGCTCAGACTACTGGTTTCAGAGGTGATTCGAGTATACTAAGAAGAGCAGCTAAGAAGAGAGAGAAAAGAGCAGCTCTTAGCTTACTCTCCAAGAAGAGCAGCTAAGAAGAGAGTAAATGGCCACTTTAAAATAAAAGACACCTGAGAATTGAATGACGAAACACAACCAACAAACCATAAAGCTACCTATAAATTAAAAGCAGCTCAGTTTTTCACTAGAAAGCTAATGAATAATTAATTACATGGGATATCGGCAACTGCGCATCGTATGGGAAGACAGATACGCGGTGGGAAGGGCTGGAGCGACCGGCCACGTCACAGGTGAGCTCGGTGTACACAAGCTTCAGGGCCCGCGCTGGAGCGGTGGCCAGTAGGTCTTCCATGGTCTCGTAGCCACGAGCAGCATACCATAAGTCGGCGCTGTGTGCCGGCCAGTCGACCTGTAATACACAGCGTGTGATAAAGGCTATGATACCATAAGTCGGCGCTATGTGCCGGCCAGTCGACCTGTAATAAATATCGTGTGGTAAAGGCTATGATACCATAAGTCGGCGCTGTGTGCCGGCCAGTCGACCTGTAATACACAGCGTGTGATAAAGGCTATGATACCATAAGTCGGCGCTGTGTGCCGGCCAGTCGACCTGTAATAAATATCGTGTGGTAAAGGCTATGATACCATAAGTCGGCGCTGTGTGCCGGCCAGTCGACCTGTTATAAACATCGTGTGGTAAAGGCTCGACCGACAATTCTGGTATTCAAAATCACTTCCAGAAGTGCTATATAAACTTATAGATACGTCACAAAAATCAATAAAGCCATCGAGACAAAATGGCCCATCTATGTAATGCCCTGTGCAAACAGCAATACAATAAGTATACAATTCGTATAATAAACGTTTAATTTCAACACGCGAATAAAATTGACCTCACTATGTTTGATACTTCCTTGCGGTCCCTTGCGTATATAATAACTTATATCGCGTTACACATTGTAATAACGCCTTACCTTATACGCCTGAAGGAGCTGATCACAGCTAAGGCCAAAAGGTCGATTTTTCAAGGTCTTGGCGAGTCTGCGAGACTCAGGCCCTTCGAGAGGCTTCTGTGCTACGTTGTTCTGGCCTTTACCTGCATCGATAAGTCATGAGTTAAAAGGTAAGCAGTTTGCTGATGAAGTTATATTATCATTTTTAAAGCGACAATATTAGGGGTAACAAGATTAAAGACTTTAAGATCAAATATACCGGTAGTCAGATTAACAAAAATATAATCAAACGTAAAAAATTGAAAGATGAAAATGACGGGATTGAAAGCGACAAGATTTAATGGAAAAATGTAAGTAAAAAAATGAAGGTAAATAAATTTGATTGAAGGTTAACAATCTGGGTAATCTGTACATTGATTGAAGGTTAACAGATCATATGCATGAAGACTTGAGGTAAAAATATTAGGGTATATATCCCTACTGTTTTTAAGGTGAGGGTAGTTAATATGAATATTTTGATGAATCTTATACTAAATTATACAAAGAAATCAGAACGGTAATTAGATCAAGTTTTCGGTGGTTCATCTTCCGTCATATTTTGATTAGCGACGAAATTTGCTGGCGCTCGTTCTTGTGACAAATTTAGTTAAAGCACAGAAACGTTTGCTCTCCGTGAGACATTCTCCCACCAGTACCTTTAATCAAGTCTTTGAGAGCTTCTTTCTTGAGACCGCTTCCTTGAGTCATTTTTTCCACGTGCATTTTGTTGGAATACTCGACGCCTTTGACGAAGTTAAGTAGAAAGTTCGCATTGGGCGCATATCTTCGGCGCGGCCTCTGGCCTGCTGAGCTCGCCTCCGGCACTTCTTCACGTGGCACAGCTGGCACCGAGCCTTGCGGCACAGTTGGTGTCGCATGGTACAGCACAGTTTGTGCCTGTGCCGCGTGGGGCGGCACAGTTGGTTCCGCTACACGTGTCAATTGAAGGGGTCAAAAATTACGAGCCAAACCGTGATTAAAGTTAAACTGAAGATAATGAGATTAAATACGCGCGGAAAAGTGGTAAAATATGAAGCCTAATTCTAAGGCCACAGGTTTAATGGTAGATGTAGAAAGTTTAAATGGGAAGGTAAGAAGTCTAAAGCCAGAACTTTGAAAAAATAAGCTAAAGTTAAGCGGTAACTACATATTCAGTAATGAATCGTAATTGAACAATTAATTCCATTAGCGTTTCCAAACTAAACGGTTAAACTAAATATTTTCTTTGACCTGTCATATTTACATCGGTCAGCTGGTGGGAAGTTTTCTGATTTATCAAGATTACCATAATGCCCAACACAACTTTTCCTAGTCTAATTATTCTACTCAACATTGATATTGTCGCCGTCTGGCCCGATAATGTCGCCGTTTGGCCCGATAATGTCGCCGTTTGGCCCGATAATGTCACCGTCTGGCCCGATAATGTCGCCGTTTGGCCCGATAATGTCGCCGTTTGGCCCGATAATGTCGCCGTTTGGCCCGATAATGTCGCCGTTTGGCCCGATAATGTCGCCGTTTGGCCCGATAATGTCGCCGTTTTGCCCGATAATGTCGCCGTTTGGCCCGATAATGTCGCCGTTTGGCACGATAATGTCGCCGTTTGGCACGATAATGTCAGGGCTTGACGAGCTTTTTTAGAAAAGTCGCTACGAGCAACAAGAGTGCAACTGATCTTTTGTATCGTTTGAAACCATAAGAAAAACCCTGGCACGCGTTTTGAGTGACATCTAGTGCCAATTGGCACCGTATCACGGCTGAACATTTGATTTTGAAAAAATCGTTCCATAAGAGAAAGTTGTTTTCCTACGCGTTCTATCTGACCACGTTTTTGTTCCCTTTACACCTCACACAGCCCGAGTAATAAGGACAACAACAAAATTAATTAAATCGTGGCACCTCTGGCCGTGGAGTTTTTATACTTTTCTGCAGCCTGTGGCCTGAACCATTTATTTTGCAGCCTGAGCTCCAACAAAGTCCAGCTTTTAGAGAAGCTTCTTCATATATCTCACGAATTAGATGTTTCAAAGAGAAATGTTTCAACGGACCCCTATTGTATTTTGAATTATAAGTTTTTTCTAAGTGAATTTTTTTCTCTATCTCTTGGTCTCAATTCACTATAAAAAAATTATATAAATTTTTCACACAGATCTATAGGTCTCATTGAGATCAATCAGATGAGACGTATAAACCAATATGTTGATTATCAAGATTTAAATTTCCGACAACGAACTTCATTTTTATGAAGTCAGTCTTATAAAACTTTTTAGATAAGAAAAAAAACTTTTGGCCATTAGATAAAAAAAAGAAAACTAGGTACAAAAAGAAAAAACAATCAGACCCTTCAGCACGAAGAGCATTAAAAAGGATCAGGCCTTTTGATAGGAAGAGCATTAAAAACCGACAAGTCTTTTCTCCGTAAATCGAGTTGATGATTAATAAAAGAATCTATAAATCAACAAAATAGCAGAATTTATCATAAAAACACGGAACATACTTGCAACGTTGATTGTATATCCGTTACAGGAACTTTCCACCACCGTCAGGAGGTTCGGCACTGCGTACGCCAGTTCCTTGAAGCTGCTCAAACCAAGGATCGCGAGGTTCAAACTTTCCCCCGTAGCAATCTGGAAATAATTACGTTGTTTAACTTTTCAAACGATCACCTTTACATCATTTACGTAACGGCACGAACGATCGTGGAGATCACAATGTAAACAGAGATATCATTGACAACGAAATAAAAATTGTCAGAAAATAGAGGTAAGTAACAGTACATCACGAAAGAGGAATGTTGATGTAGGCAAATAATCGGTAACTTTCGTTGTTAGAGCTCTACAACAGATCCTTATGCGACAGAAAAATATTTATTATCATTATTGTATCAATTAAGCGATTTGATTGACGTATTCTATCCATTCACATTGTATTATTGGTGAACGAAAATTCGTAAGGAGATCCACAGAGAAGGAAAATGTGAATTATGTGTAGTTTTCGTCGGGTATGTGCTCGTGGTAACAATTCTCTACCCTGTAGGTAATTATATATGATATACATGTTGTGGAAATATAAAGGAATAAACTTTACAGATTGAAACGTGCGCAGGCAAAAAATAACTGAGAACTCCACATATCAACTAATGGCCTCAAAATAATAGGAAAGCCCTCCCGTTAACTTCTGGCAACATCAATTGGAAAGGAAAACGTTCAGTATAATCTCACCTTATACGCCTGCTCGATCTGATGCGGGCTGATCGTATGCGAGTTACTCATGGATTTGACTGCGGCAGTCAAGCCTCTCATCACATTCTCGGGGATATACCGCGGAGTAGTGGACCGATACGAAATTTTAGCAATATCTCCTTTGCCTTTGAATTCAATGGGACCATCACCACTGTTTAGCTCATTGTTTATTGTCTTTTTGATGGTTTGATTAACAGTAACAACTAGACTTGAATTTGATGCCTTAGATGTGCCGGCGTAGATCGAGGGCTTAAACATCACGAAGCGTTCTGAATCTTTTACAACGCATGCATTGCGATCGCCTTCATTTGAAGTTTCAGCAACTTGATTTTTATTAGTTTTGTCCAAATGCATTTCGTTATTAATTAACGAAGCAGACACAGCCGTTTCATGCTTGCAAGAAATTTCATTCTTGGCATCATCGTGAAATTCCTTAGGTCGATCATTGCCGTTGATAACATTTACATTTGAACGAGGTTGCTTTGTTTCATTTTTGATGAGTGGGGTCGAAGTCTTTTCATTTAGACGGGTCCAAGCTTGCTTCAAAATATGAGAGGGAATTTTAGGGCGCGCCAGCGATGGTCGGTAACTTGCAGACGTCGAATCAAAAGATTTTTCTTCGTTTGAGATGGTCTTGGGGGTAGACTTCTCATTCTCCGCTTTGATCTTCGCTTCGGAAGTCTCATTATAATTCCACTCAATGGAATAGTCAAAATAATCCAAGCTTTCCTGTTCGCCATTGGCATCTTCGTTGTACGCGCTGTTGGAGGTTACATTAGCAGCAGGGACATTTTTATCACGATCGGCAGCCTTGACCGCGTCAGATTCCAACAAACATGGAGCGCTTTTCGGCGACGGCAGTGTTTGGTCCAGAACTATTGCTGATAAACTCAGGCGACCTGCTGACTTTCTTGGTCTAGACTCCAACACATTTGGGGACGCCACGCTATATACTTCAGGAGACGAAACCTTTGCCGAGGAATCGCTCCCTGGAAATTTATTTTCTCTCAAATTCAAGTCAAATGTTCCACGGTTTTTCTCGCTTGCCTTTTCGGGGTCATGATTGGAAAAGTTCTTGTTATTTGATGCCTGGGAACTCGAATTGTCTGGAAGACGAGTCAAAGTTTTGAGATGTCCGTTGCAAACGCTGCTTTCCCTTTTATATTTTTCATCATTAACTGCAGCATTGTTGGATTGAGGAGCCAACTTTGAAGAAATCCCACAAGAAGTGCTTGTCGCCATGGAAATAGTGTTGCGCCTTTCACGGCCATCAGAATGCTCTTTTGGCTTGTTAAATGCGGTCATAGCGAGATCTGAAAAAGTAGGCTATACCTAGAAACATAACATGTGCTAGCAGTTCAAAAAATATTTGATTAGATTTGCGGGATAAATGTTCATCATTGCACAGTACTCGATATTAACAGCTACTGGCTTACGATTCTTCGTTAATACTGGAGGTGTTGAGTTTTTTCATTTTTTTTATTAATTCGACTACATTATCTCAGGCTTCCCCTTAAACATGTATTATATATACTAGCGCAACTATTTTTGTTTTACCCTCGTTAATGGCGACAACCATCCTTCCATCGCGCTGCAGGCGTACGTGGCAGAAATGAGACATCGAGTTGAAAAATGACCTCCGTCTACTCTCATTAAATGGAATCCTGATGACAAAGTAAAGGACATTACAAGCGTAAACATAAGCATGGATCAATGTTAATAGAAGGAAAAACAAACTACGAGCCTTGCAATAAGTCCAGCAGCTATCTCAATCAATTCGTCAGTTATGGAAAGATCGGGTTCATAAGGCCGGATCCCCTGTGTAATCAGTCACGAAAAGAACAAGGATCGGCAACAGGCCATGGGCCTATTTCTTCAGTGCAAACACTTCTATTCTATTCTAAATTGGACTTAGCATGAAGACGCGCAAGGGGCACAAAACTATCCCTGAAACGTCAGATAAAAATTGAATAGAGAGGACAGTTCAAGCAGCGCCAAATACACTCGAGAACCTCAATAAGACTAGGAAACTTCAACTGTGCAGAGGACCTTTTAATACGGAGATAGTTAGGGGAGGTAAAACGAAAGTATCTATGTAGAGCGCCACAGAAGTGAACAAATGAATTTAGGCTCATTCGTGAGATCAAATTTCTGATGTGAGAACAATGCTTTACAAACGCCATAATGAAAACATTAATGAAACTATAACCTACACAGAGAACACACAATCTCAGAATACAGACAATACTGTTAAATTATATTATAATGTAACAACAGACTTTCTAGTGTATCAAATCAAAGGGGCAAGCATAGATAGCTCTAATTATTCTTTGACGTCAGGTTTTGAAATTGTAATAAAAAAATTCAGTAAAAAAAACAAATTGTCATGTAAATTGTAAAAAAAATTCAGTCAGTAATAACGAAGGATTATATAAATATCAAACTAACTGGTGATCCAAATTAATGGTACCAGTAGTTAGCTATTAAGGACAAGCAAACGTACAATGGTAATGGTATACACATTAAACAGATGACATGCTAACATACCTCAATGGAAAGCCATATTTCTTTTCATACTCAGCACCAATATACTCCAAAGGGATTCCATGACGATGCATCAGTAGTAGCTCTTTAATATTTTTCTGTATATATGGAGGAACAATATACATGTGGCCATCTGTTGGAATAAGGCAGAGCAGTCAGCATCAGACTTGAGGTCAAACAGCAGACATTCATTTCAACTTCATGAAATAAAAACCAACCTCAAAATTAACATTGCAGAGGTAGTACATTAGTAAATGAAATGAATTTATAGAGGTAATAATACAAAAATGTTTGTGAATATTGCCACTAATCCAGTAGAAACTAAATTTTGAGGCTAATTTTACAAATGATATTTCATATGATATTATAGTGAATTAATGTAAGGAAAGTATTTAACCTGTATTATTAGAGGAATTTCTGCTAGGAGGAACACTGAGAGGCCGCCTGCGGCGCGCAGACGGGGTGCGTTCCCGGACTCTGTTGCTGTGGCCACCGCCTCTTCGTGTGAGGCTTGAACCCCCAAGCCTTCCTTCATTGGTAAAAAAATTAGCTAAATGAGCACAAACTAAAAAATAATCATCAACAAAGTTGATAACAAGAAATCCTATTTATAGATTGAAAAACGTTTATGGTTTCAACATAATTATAAAGTAAATTTTGGCACCATGACTAGACAAGTTAACATGATGAAAAACATTCATTGGCAAAAATATTGATTTAAAAGTGAATTCAGTTTTGAATAAAAAGTTAAAAACATAATTAATAAATAGATATTCTATTTAGTCAGGTAATGAATAAATTGGTGAAAGAAAATGTAATAATTCAGAAATATTCACAGATGATTAAGACATCTGTTCAGTACAGAATGAAAGCTACAATCATGTTGTATTAGGAATAAAAGAAACCTTAAATAATGAAAGTGAAGGTAGTGCATGCATATCACAGCATATGCAAGTTTGATAGATTGAAAACCAGAGCATGGTTAATTAAAAGCAATCTTCTTATTTGTTTCTTCCAATGAGTCAAACAAAATTTCTTACTGGTGCTGGGAGATCAAAAAGCAGGTTACCAAATCACATTTTAATGAAATTCAACATTTTGAATATATACTATTCATTTTCAAGCAGGTGAAGGGTTTGCAACGCTTGAAATTGAACTTCTAGAAGACTAGAACACCGCATAACTATGCTGGTGCAGGCCTCCAATGTCTCTCGGGTGATGGTCTCATTGTGAGCTTCCGGCATGTGGTTCTTAGGTCCTCCAGATTGTAGGTGGCATGCGAGTCGGTGGCTTAAGGTTGTGCTAGTAAGACCAATGTACCTAGTTGACATTTCAAAGAAGTTTGCAACCTTTCATATTGCATGAAAATTTAGAAACAACCTTAGTTTCTTGAAGCAGTCCAGATTTTCCACGCAGATTATTATTCATGACAAGGTTTATAATTTTCTTATTCTTGCAGTATTTTATTTTATCAAGTTGTATTTTTTTGTTATCCACTGTGCTCTTGATATTATTATGGATGATTTACTGCAGGATTTTTTTATCTGCTTTGTAACCTCAGTTCATCTGCTTTTGTTAGAAGATTTTTTTTAATGTTCCAATAGATATTGCTTCATATTATATCTAATCAATAGCAATATCAAATGGAACCCATCACAACAATCTTCTATCAAGGCCAGATGAACAGAAGCTACAAAGTGGACAAACGAGTCCAACAGTCAATCATCCATAATAACATCAAGAGCACAATGGATAACAAAAATATAAAACTTCTGCTCTACTACAAAAATAAGAAAATTAAAAACCTTTTCATGAACAATAATTTCTGTAAAAAATCTGAACTGCCACAAGAAATCAATGTTGTAAATAAATTTTCATGTAATGTAGAAGGTAGCAAACTTCTTCAAAAAATAAAGTACAATGGTCTTGTTAGCACCACCTTGAGCTGCTGACTCGCATGCCATCTACAAGGACTTAAGAACCACATGCAGGAGGTTCACAATGAGACCATCACCCGAGCAACAATGGAAGCCTGCACCACCTGCAATACAGCAGATACAATAGCACATTTTCTTCTAGAATGTCAACATCATGTATTGCTAGGACAGGAGGTCAAGAGCTACAAAGAAATTAAAGATGCATTAATGTAGAATTTACTCTGTGTAATTTGTTGGAGGGAGGTAACCATAATGATAATGTGTAAGAGAAAATATTCCAATTTCTCACTTTATTCATATTTAAATCAGGCAGGTTAGGCAAGCTGTAGGTGCATGCATGGTGGCTGTGCACACATTTGATTACTGCTGCCAATTATGTTCTATCTATTGTCATTGATGGTGTATTTATTATCATCTAGGTGTCTTTTAGGTAATTAAAGTAGGTAGGGAGGCTAAACCAGCATTCATTTACCTTTTATGTTTTGCCTCAAATGAGCATTTAATCAGTCCACTTACTAATACTTGGTTTCCCTAAATTCCTCAAATCCTGAACAGAGCTACATGAGAGAGCATTGACTAGCTTCCTATACCAAGAGGCTAAAAACTTTACCCCAACAAGCTCTCAGGCCCAACGGCCATCCATCAGGCGGACCTGTGGCTTTATGTCCACCCAGCGTGGACACCCCACAAAGAAGATGGAGGCCTGCACCAGTACAGTTATGCGGAGCCCTGACCCTTCAAGACGCAATAGCTGAGGCCCTTGTTATCAAGAGCAAGTCTCCAGCTATCAACCTCCAAACTACACAATTCATCCGGTCCCTGGAATGCTGAAATTATTTTCAGAATAACTTAAGCTTATATTTCAAACTTTATCAATAATACCATTGACTTGTACTACTGACATTTCCAAAATTTCAATTTGAATTGTTGCAAAACCCTTCACTTGCTTGATGATGAATATTGTATACCTAAATTTGAAACATTGCATTCCATTAAAATGTCAGGTAGTTAATAAAAAGCATGCTCTGGTCTTCACTCGAACTTGCATAAAAGAAAGGCTTCTGCCAAATTACACAAACTATCACAGCCTATAGGTATGTATACTGACAACACTAACATTTACAATGGAGCAGAGTAAATCAATTCAAGAAAGATAGAACAAGTTGCAGTAATTGCACTTCTCACCAGCCCTGGAGCTCTTCTGTTCAACCACAAACTGCCTGATGTGTTCTGTCTCAGGTGTGGATTTAGCCACAAGTGTGATGGTGTTGCCACAGCACTGCAGGCTCACAACATCATTCATGCTACGCAGCAAACTCTCTGGGTTTGAAAATCTGTGATAATAGAAATCAATTATCAGTGTCAAAAGGAAGCTAATGATGTAGTCCATTACCTGACATTTCATGTACATACAAAACACAAAAATTTACACACTCTTCAAGTTGTTGGACTTTGTCAAGTCTAAGTTAAACGGAACAATTAAACCATAATTAATAACAATTGAATAATCAATTTCAGCTTGAAACTCACCCCAAAGACAAATAAGGCAAAGGCAAGCCTTCACATTCTTGGTAGTCTTGAAGGAGCTGTCTCAGAAGAAGTCCACGAGGAGCAGATATCAGCAAATTCTGCACTACAGCTTTACAATCTTCATATTTTATAGACAGAGGAGCATTTGATTTTTCTAACCACTGTGACTGCATTGTGAATGCAGACTTGTCATCAACTACACTCCTTATTTAATTGACTGTAAAATAGAGCAGAGAATTATATTGACTTCCCTGGTCTTCCCATAGAAGAGAAAGATTGATTATTATCAGAAATCAGAATGGATACAAAATCAAACTTCAAGAGAATTAACCTCAAAATCTACAGATTACCATATATAAATTATGCATAGAAGAAAGTTATAGTTATCCCGTAGCGGGCCTTTACTAAATTTGAACTGTAAATATTTTCATCAGAAATTGAATGAATTATGCATGGCATGTCATGTATTCAATAGAAATAATCCATTTGAAAATAAAACTAAACTACAAATTTGCCATGAAAACATCTAAGTTACAGTAACACTTATTAGCCCATTATTATGCAATAATCCAACCACACTTATTCTGTGGTATACACTACCAGTACCACTCTACCAGTTTCACTGCAACTGCGTCCAGAAATGGACCAGAATTACCATATATAATAACACACATAAGGCTGACATAACATTACTAATTTAGTCAGATATGGGGTAAGACAGGACTGAAATCACTAACAAGCCTGTAGCATCTATACCATGAATAACTAAAAAACCCTAAACCTATCACAAGGTGTATCTATGCAACGGGCTTCTAAGCTACAACTCAGACATTTTGCATCTAACATAGTTTTCTGTACAGATTGAAAAAAGTGAGCTGGTTACCTGGGGTAAGACAGGACCGACTGGTAATTCTTATGTTACAAGGTTTTTAATAAAAGTACAAACCTGATATTCAATATCATCCATCTAGAAACACATTATTTGATTAAACAACCACTTGTTACTGTTTTGTGTTGCGACTTGCAGGAAGTCAACTCTAATATCAGTCACATTGGAGTTTTTGTCTTGGGAAAACTTTGTTAAACATAGTAATAGTGGGTTGGCTTTGGTTCATTGTAGAGCACTGCTAAATGCTTCATGTATATTAGTGCCATTGTCTGAAAAATTGATCAAATTGGTAATAAAACCAATGGATAATAACTTAAGTGTCAGACATCATGTGTTTTCTTGCTAACTGTATTTGTGGGGCACTTCATCTAATGTAGCCCATGCCCTCTCACAGAGTTGTCATAATAATAATTTTTCATGTTTCACACAATGATTTTTCCCCCAGCCAATCTTGCACATAGTTCTGCAGCTCACTAATGGGAAGAGACAACCCTATTTTCTATATCCATTTGATGCAATTTAAAATAGTGCACTATATTTCTCTAATTAAAAAAGCTAACAAGTTATAATGAAGCTTGAGCCATAGAAAAAATTTTTGACCAAAATACTCCATGTACTGCACAATAATATATTCATTTAGAAGCTATTTTTGATAACCTGTACCTAGGGTAATACCACTATGCAGAGGGTGGATGCAGCGTCGGCAATATATGGATTTTTAAGCCCAAAGCGTCGCCGGCCATTTTAAAGATGCGTCGCCGGGTAATTTTTAATGAAAAGCCATTTACGCTGAGTAATGACAAACTATTTATAAGCCACGAACTTATTACAAGGTTGCATGCATGTGTTACCCCAAATAACTAATTTTACCCTAAAAACAGTCCGGTTGTACAGCAAGTGTCAACTGAACAAGTAATAAAGCAGTCTGACCGCTCTAATGCAACCGAAACTACGCAATCGAAAAAATGTTAGTCAGGCAGTGATGGTAGCAGGTAGGAATGCCTAGTAAGTCTCAAAAGTTGCTTATTACTTGAGGTTACCTGCCTACATCTACAAACCTGTCCAAAAAATTTTTTGTCATTAGACAGAGCTTATTACCCAAATAGGGTTAACTATTTTGTGACCCTTCTTTACATAAATTTTCTTTAAAAATTAACCAAAAATTAATTATTTGCAGAAGAGGGTTGAAACAAACACTGAAATGACAGGCAATGATTCTAACATATTCTTAATAATTCTTTTATCAAATTAAATTCAGTGCAATTAGAGTGCATGCCATGGGCTGGTCCTTTCTTACCCCATGAAGGCTGCGATCCTGTCTTACCCCATTTGACTATATATATATAATGATGAGGGTCAAGATGCCATTATAAAATATCCTTGGTACCCTAATCTTGAAAATTGAGAAGAATTAAAAAAATATTGTAGGTCAACATTATTGTTTTACTATAGTAAATTTTCAAAAATCAAAGGCACAAACAAGTTTTTATGATTTCTCATGCAAAGAATTTAGACAGACTATTAAAAATGGGTGGAATTTAATGCTAGGCCTAGCATAGCATTTTCATCTTGGTCATGGGCATGGCTCATGGGAACTTCTGACCAATTTGCCAGAATGTTTGGTGGTCCAATCACTTTTATCTCAATACAATAGTCAATACATTTGCAATCATTTGTAAGTAATTAGTATTCTGTTGTCCAGCAGACTTCAACAGTCAGCACAGCACATTTCTTTCAATCTTTGTCTTTACTAAAACTAATGTTTCTAGCCGCCACTTTCTACTTAATTAGGATTTTGCGCGAATTAATGCTGTGATCAGTAATCAAAGGCACACCGCACTGACCGCACACAGCTGACACAATATTTCAGTTTTTCGCGTACCTCACGGCTCACCACACAATTCCACAGACCGCACCAGCTTCCAGTTCACACTTGTGAGTGTCACTCACTGTCACAGTAATGATATTAGTTACTAGGGCCAAATTCCAAACAATAACCATGAAAATACAAGCCTGCAAGGACCAAGGGGCCCAAAAGCTATAAATAATGGAATCTTTCCCTTCAAATAACTGTAACCCGCCAGTAAACCCGGTAAATTGGTGGACATACTTTTTTTCGGATACTATGAAGCTAAAAAATAAGCAATGAAACATAGATAAAAATTTTAACCAAGTTGACACTGACAATAACGACACCCAAACAAGAAAAATACATATCTAGTAACCAATTTTTACTAGAATAAAAAAAATATATTGAAGCTAGGAAACTTCTATCACAACTATTGAAAAAAAGCATTGGTGAGCCTAAGTTCCACATTAATGCTGCTCCCACAGCGGCACATCTTCTTTTCGGGATGTCCACGCAGGGTAGACTTAAAGCCACAGGACAACCGCAAGGATGACCGTTGGGCCTGAGAGCTTGTGTAGTTTTGGACCTCTTGGTATGGAGGTCAGACCACTTATTTTTGCTTTTGAAAAGTCAGTGGACGCAATGGCTGAGCGTGACAGCAAGCAAAAGAAAAGCAACACAGGGCATTAAAAATATCAAAAAGCAAAGGCCCTTCCTCATCAGAATTCAGCCCGGCATTTGGCCGCAAAATTAGGTGGACTAGTATAGGTACAATAACTTAGATCATACATCTCTCACACTTCTCAAGTTTTTAGGTCATACACATACAGTTAGTTCATTTAGCCTACCTGACATTAAGAAAAAAAAATGTATAGTCACAAATTGAGAAAGTACACATGACATAAGAAAATATCAGAAAACAAGGGTCATTACTCATTAGAAATCAGCACAGTTTTTGACCACATAATTGGGTGGACTAGTGAAAGTATGATAACTCAGGTCATAAACATGTAAAAAAAAAAAAAAAAAAATCTGCATACACATACATACATATAAGCTGCATTTCTTATTTAGCTAGCTTATCTAAAGTTCATTTAGCCTACCTGACTTCAAAATGTATACAGTCAAAAGTTTAAAGATTTTTCTTTGCACATCGTCATCGTTATTACCTCCCCCCAAAAGTTCACACAAAGAAAATTGTACATTCAAACATCTTAAATTAGTTTTCAGCTCTTGTCTGGGCTGCGCATGTCGCTGGCAATGCAGCAGGTAGTGCTCAATAGTACAGCCGGGTTCTTGACGCTAGAAGGACCCTTCACTAAATATACTCGTGGTATATATAGTAGTCCAAGATCAAGTAATATGTGACTTATAGGCGATTATTTACCGGTTAACTTAACGGAATCAAGGGCGATAGACACTAGAGATGTTTACTCGATGAACGCAGCTGACTCTCTCCCACAGCGGCACAGCCCGCGAACGCAATTGACTTGCGTAATAATACATATTCGTCTTCGTCTTCTTCACAAGGTAGTACCTAGCAATAAAGTAATACTTTTTTACATTAGATTTCGGAAATGAAATAAACAAACCTTTGCTTAAAAACCCTAACTTTTTCAATTTAATAATTACATGTCATTTAAAATATAATTCCCTTAAGTCAATGTTGTTGTTCCCTGCTTCAAAATTCGCGGGAAATCTGGTACAAGTTTCGGACAATTTTACAGCCAGACTCGCGGCCGGTCTTACCATGGTTGAACTAGTATGAATATCTCCCAGTAGAACTAGAACTAGAAGAATATCTTCCAATTCAACGACCAAGGAATATATCCCATAGCAATGAAAGCAGTTCGATGAAACTTGGTATGCTTATTCATTAGGACCTAACGGTGATGCTTAGCTCGTAAAAATTTCCTCAATTTCGCCTTAATTCGCTAGTTATACGGTGAAACGGGCCGATATTTGCAGTGACAAGACATTTCTTCTAAACAACTACTGAACAGATTTTAACGAAACTTATATATGTATTATATATACATATATAAGTTATATATTATATATACATATATAAAACTTATATATACATTCCTATTTAATTTCCTAACCATCCAGTGGTAATGTTGGCTTTCACGAGCTAAACAATTTTTTTTACGAGCTAAACATAACATTCAGACTTGAAATAAACATTCAGACTTGAAATGCCTAGCACCATATCGAACCCGGTGGAAGTCTACCTAGTAGCTATTTCAAACTATCGTCAATCCTGAAAAGATCCGGTCAAATACACGATTTTAGATCTGCGAACAAGTCACGAAAAGTAAGAATCGGCGACAGGCCACATCAGGCCTACTCTTCAGCGCTGACATCGCTAATAATTAATAGGTGCTTACACACGGGGCTAGTAGTTGCGTATATTGGTTGCGTCTACTACAGTTTTGCAGGTTGCGAACCTATACACGAGTATAGTGTTTTCGGTACACT